CCCCCCCCCCCCCCCCTGTTGGCATGGGAAAAAAAAAGGCACCGCCGCCGCCGCCGCTGCCGCCGCCGCGTGTTCCCCGTCTTATTCCGGCCCGCACACATGCCGGCTCCTCCCCGACCCGCGTCTCCTACCCACCCCAACACCGCAGGCGATCTCTCTGATCGAGAGCGGCAAGTACGATCTAGATGCCGGCGATGTCGGCGGGCAGACTCCGACACACATTGCGTGCTACAGGGTGAGCCGAGAAAAATAACATATTTTTACTCTACACTTTGAATCACCCACCAACCATGCCGCGTTCTGGCAGGACCGGCAGGCAGCAAGCAGCAGTCATTTTCTGTAGGGCAACAAGCAACGAGACAGAACTTCGCATGACGTGCGTGGTCTCAAATGATGCGTACGTTTCCACCTGCTGAGCTGCGGAATGCAGGTGACGCCAGAAAAATCAACCAATCGACCGGCCCGCATTCCAACCCGTCATGGAACAGGAGGCAACGGCTGCACACAGCAGTCCTCTCTGAGTAAAACACAGTGATTTTTCGATTGTTTCCCCGTCCCCCCACCTCTCCTTGGATGTGTTGATTTCTTCTCGGCACACGTGCGTGCGTACCCGTCGTCGTGGCAGAGATGTAGATGCGGTTTACCTTCGCCTACAGCGGCAGTAGCAGATCATCGTGTTCGCACGGACTGCTACAACTGTAGTACTGCTGCTGTATTCGAGCTCGTCAGCCTTGCCACACGCTACGCACCACCCCTTTGTCCTTGTACATATATGATATAATAGCATAGCATACAGGGCCAATGACTTTGTCACTTGGGCAGAAGATTGTTGTTGTTGTTGTTTGTTGTTTTCTTTACATTGAACTCGTGTCAGCAAAGATCTAGGTCCGTGGTCACGAACATGCTAGAGCGATCAAAAGATCTGAAGAACACGCACACTATTAGCAAGAAAAAAAGGGTACACAAGCTCGAGGAGGTTGTTGTTGTTTTTCTTCACATTAAACTCGTGTCAGTTGCTAATCCCAAAATCTAGCAATGACTCGGTCCGTGGTCACAAAAATGCTCGAGCCATCAGAAGATCTAAAGAATGCGCACACTATTAGCAAGAGNCACTTCAATATGTGAAAAAATATATATGTGCCTGTTGTTGTTGTTGTTGTTTTTCTTCACATCAACTTGTGTCAGTTGCTACTCCGAAAATCTAGCAAAGACTCGGTCCGTGGTCACAAAAATGCTAGAGCCATCAGAAGATCTGAACACACACACTATTAGCAAGGAAAGGGTACCCAAGCCCGAGGAGGTACACCTGCAATCCCTGAATCCCTGCAGCACGTTTGCATACTCACAACTGAACTACACGCCCACACACTACAAATCGACTACAGCAGCAGCATCACCCCCCTTGTCCCGCATTTGACCAAAATGAAAGTTTGTCGACTACAGCGTACTGCTGTCTGTAGTGCTGTCTGTACAAAAATAACACCATGGTGCATGGTACACAAGCTCGGGGCATGCAGCTGCTGTCTGAAGTGCTGTCAGAATGAGTCTGTGGACATACAATGAAGAAGAACACCCAACCAAAGCCATCATTGCAATCGACAATCACCCGAATCTATCCAAATCATCTGTGTTAGGCACAGCAGTGCAAACATCGACACTGACTAGGAATCGTTCCACATTGAAGAGGTCTTCCACGATGCAGGTGCACAATTAAGGCACCCGGGTTATCCGCGCCATCTCTGCCGCGTCTCTCTACAAAACCAGTGACGTCATCACACACACCTCCCCTCCCCGGCCTGCTCC